ACATATTTCATTCTACATGGCTATTCTATCTTTAATTTTACATAATAGATCTACTTGGTTAATCATAGTTTTTTGTTTACAGTAAAATGCTATTGTTTTTTTTTTAATATCTCTATTTTAAACGCAAACTAAGCACTAAAACCATGCATTTGTTCTCAATCTAAAAATAAGGAGATGTGGTATGATATCAGTATTATTAAAGCATAATGAATAAATTCATAAGAAGAAGAAACAAATACATACTGTGTCCACACTGTGAACCAAAACTCCCAAGTCTACAGAAACATGTTTTCTTGATACTATCTGTGTGACACTGTCCATCATTTTGACAATATTGTTGATTAGATGTTGTGGCAGGACAATTACCTATGTATAAATAAAACAAATGTATTATAATGCATAATACTGTAATATTGTTGTTGGTAAACAATACACCTGCAATTAAACGCTAAATCAATTTGATCAAAAAAATCTTTGGCCTGCCATAAATTATGATGGCAGCATTCAACAGACTATATCATTTTATCATCCGAAAAAAACCCAATATCTATGTATTTTAACCTTATGCTTTATAAAGGCTTCAGATGGCAGATCTTTAGTAGTCTTATTTAAATTTTTACAAATTTTCTAGAACATAGAAGGATGTGATTTTGTATTTTGATATGAACATATATATGTCTACAGTTGAAGACTGTACATAGATTATTTTGCTTCTTTTGTGTTGTTTGGTTGTTGTCTTATTGAAGTGTATTCATCATTTCATTGTATCCATATTAAAGAAAATTTATGAATCCTGATTACCTATTATTGTAAGAAATGGCTGAATTTCATATTTGACCATACCTTTTTCGCAACTGCTTCCATAGAAATCTAATTTACAGATACACGAATATGTTCCGTCTGATAGTGTAATACATAAACCATTATTCTGACATGGAATTGATGAACAGGGATCTACAAAACAAATTCAGTTAGTGATAGTAAAATTATTACAGGACTCTTTTGTTTGATCTTAATTGGTTCAATTATGTTATTACTCTTGTTTTGCATTTCTTACCAAACGAATATTAATTCTATTGTGTTTACCAGATATGCCCACTCAAAGAAGCCAGCTTGGCTATTGTGCCATTGAGTTGATATCGCATTGGAAGTTATTGAAAGTTAAGCAAGTAAGCAAGCAACATTCTACCAATCAATCAATCTCCATAACACATACCAATATATCCTTTTATTCACATGTATTGCTCACCTGGAATACATTAATAATGCAGACTAGATTTTAAAATCACATTTCAAAAGCATGCTTATGTGGCAAACAAAAGGATGATCCCATGATGGGCACTTGTAATATTAGTTCAAACTAACAGTGCCTCAAAATGTAAAATCCTGTAGGAATCCCATTTTACAAGGGTTCCTATAACCCAGCCTAACATGAAATAAAGTCAAAGTATTTCTATTATGTTGAACTTCATACAAATTATGCAGTAAAGCTATTTTTAATGAAACTGTCCGATGGTCATAAGAAAATCACAATGCTGTCATTTGGAACAAAAAAGTCATTATACAGTTTGATATCATGTTTGTAGAATAAATAATCGAAAAATTCAATTATAGAAATCATTCCAATGTATGTTAATATTGATAGCGAAATCAACATTTGATTGGTTGAGACTATCCCACATGACGTCGAACAAAACTTCATATTCCCCTCCTCTGAACGTCGGGACTTCCATGTGCGACGTTATGCGCGGTAAATGTTTATTACGTTTTGAACGGGTTTTTTTTTAGAGAAAGTAAAGTAATTTCGTTTTCAAAATTATTTCAGATCTAAAAACAAAACAAAAAGAATAAATGATTAAATTTTGATCGGTACTAATTATCATTATTAATGTCGTGTTTAGTTATCAAAACAAGTGGATAAGAAAAAGAAATATGTAGTTTAATATCTTATGTTCAGGAAGTAAAAAAAATTTGGATTGTGGAATAAAATATTCATTTCCCTTGGCTTAGGGAGATATGAAGATTTGTTCACCCTCGAAATGAGATTATTGCCAGTGTAGTTCTGTTACCAGTTGAATATTTATTTTTACATTTGAATTCTTCGATTAGTTATTCTATTTATTGGAAATCGAGTACAAAATACCAGACACTATATATTTTTCTACCAGTTTCTAACAGAGCAAAGAATTCATTTAAAAACAAAACAAGTCCAAAGGTCAAAATAAGTCAAAAGCATTTCAATCACAATCTAAATCATAAGTAATAACTAGTATTCATATGATTACAAACGAAAATAGCTGATTATTTCAACTAGAGTGGAAACCGTTATTTAAAATCAAAACCAGTCTAAGGGCAATATAAGTCTTTAAAACATATTAAATTGTAAGAAACCTGTATGTTATATGTATTTTTATCTTACCTCCTATACATTTCTAGGAATATGATTGGTTAAAAGCAACCGCGTGGAGACCGTGTATATTCCATTTAGGGTTAGTAGGCGGGGCTTATTTCAATACACGGTTAGTAGTGGTGTTACGTCCCTTTATAAATACACCACGATTTTGAGGAAAAATCTTAAAGGTTACAACAGACGAAGAAATTGATGATGAACGATTGAAATAAATCCGTAAAACACATTTAAAGCTAACAAGTTGTTATTGTTGGCATTTGTTTTTGTATAGACCAATGAAAGTAGGTGCTTAATACTAACGGTATTGAAGACTTGATAACTTTGATAGACCACTAGTCTAAATACCACATGTTAAGATAGTCGGTAAGATAAATTCGTTACATAGTGTGCTAGTGACCTAATACGATATATATGGGGTCAGTAAATTCCATATGGGGATTCGAGCTTCGCTTTCACCCCATATGGAATTTACTGACCCTATATATATCGTATTATGTCACTAGCACACTTTGTAACTAATAATACACTGAGATGTCATCAATGAGGAATCGGAGACTGCGCTAGATATTTACAATGACCAAGGTTGAATATTTGAAATGGCCCATTATGCTTGGTTTTTTTTTCTACCTTTGTTAATTTTCTGTTTATAAAATATTTACTTTTTGTTTCTACCTCTAGACTATGATGGCCTTTCGCTGATTCGATACATTCTTCTGGAGTTTTAAAAGACTCTACGAAATTGTATTTAAATTGGTCTTCCAACTGTTTGATTTAGGCACAACTGATGGGTATAATTTAAACGGAACTCGTGTAAGGCATATACAATTATTAGCCTGATAATGACATTAGCTTTTACAAGTTTTAAAGTTCTTACTCTTCATGTCACTTTGATGACCAGAAAAACATTCATGTATAAGGAATTATTTTGAAAACCAAGTTATTAAGACTACTACATTCATTCATATTGGTTAGTCACTCACATCATTGGACATATTTTATAACTACACAACAAAGTATAGTTCTTTCAGTTTCTGTTCAGTTACTCAAAGATTCAGAAAAGATTTTTTATAACACATTCATAAAACAATTGATATAGATGAAAAACACCAGTCTAGGTGAGCTAAAACAGAGTCTTGGTTTATTTTCAATGTCAGAAATCCAATTTTTACTGATTGGAATGACAACAGTACATATTGATTGTACTGCATAAATTATGATTTTTTTACTTTTGTGGTTAGATCTGATTTTCCAAAATTTGCAACTGTAAAACATATTGCTGTTGTACTTATTTGGTTGATTGTCAATAATGTAAGGAATCATTGTCCGTGCCTCATAAGGAACCTTATAACCTAGGTTTGTTTAGCAAAAAAAAAATGACAGGATTTTTATGTACACAACTCTTGTATGTGGAATAACCATTATCATGTTCTCTCATCTGTACAGCCGTTGGGGGTGACTACATGCCGATGACTACATGCCGACCACATCCTATCAGATTTCCTCAAAATCTGGGTGAAAATTGTAATATGTCATATAATTCAAAATGCACATGTGCATTAATTTTCAAAATAAATGTGATCACAACTTCATAGTGATTTATTTTAATCATAAATGTTTACCTGATAACACACTGATTTATATTTACTATGAGGTTTCACCTGTACAATAAAACTAACAATACCAATTTAACTCTACTAGATGCTCATTTCGGCAAACACTGTTTCTTCAGTGATGTTCAAGGCCACAATATTTGAGAGGTCAAAACCTAATATAAACGTTGGAGAGCTGATAAAATACCAAAGGTAAATCTAAGCCCGGACAAGGAATCAGATCTTCAATTAGACAACTCAACTTTACTATATTGTATAGCTTGAATATAATGACAAGTCTCCATAAACTATCAAATTTCACCTGCACACAATGTCAAATCATTTTCTTAATTAAGTATCACCTCTTCCCAGTGTCAACTCACATTTTCTATGGATATTCATACTCATAAGTCGAATAAAAACTGATAATGCCATGGCAAAAATAAAAACGACCAAACAAAAAACTGTACACAAAACACAACATAGAGAACTAAAGACTGAGCAACACAAACCCCACCCAAAACCGCGAGTTATTTCAGGTGCTTCGGAAGGGTAAGCAGATCCTGCTCCACATGTGGATACCAAAACACAATTCAACTCACTTTTTCTGCCAATTTTCATCTGTACACAATGCCAACCTATCTTTTCGAAAAAGTTTCATATGTATACAATGCCAACTCACCTTTTTTTATAAAGTTTCACATGTACACAATGACAACTCATCTTTTCTATCAAGTTTCATTGTTCAAAATGACAGCTTACCTTTTCTATCAAGTCTAACATGAACACAATGTCAATCATCTTTACTATGAAGTCTTATATGTACACAATGACAACTCACCTTTTCTATCAAGTCTCACATGAACATAATGACAACTCACCTTTACTATCAAGTATCACATGTAAACAATGTGAACTCGACTTTTCTATCAAGTTTTACCCGAACACAATGTCAACTCACATTTTCTGCCGAGTCTCACATGTACACAATGACAACTCACCTTTACTATTGTCAATTATATGCAATAGAAAACATCTGGTCTCTCCGTCTTGACTGAAAATAAGTAACTTCATTAATATTATATGTAAGCATGATACATTTAACTTCTGTTTATGTGGATTTTCACTAATAAACAAGAAAGAAAATCTTACCTTTATAACTCAACTAATGGTTTTATTAATTACCTCTCATCTAGCTGCTTTTCATCAGAATATTCATGAGTGTTTCACTCTCGACATTATATTAATGATTCTTCATGTTCTAATTAGTTTTATTTCTATTTGACCCTTTTAATTGATGGTTAACACCGATCTCAATAAAATTTGGACAAATCAGTTTAGTTCGCTTATCTCTTAATTTATATTGGTTTTTTAATTTGTCGGGTTGACGTTTCAATTACATAAATTGCAAAGCTCCTTTAATTCATTACCAGTAATTACAAATAGAATAACCTTTATTTCCTTTTTTACACTATGTTTCTTTCAAAATAATTGACTGTCACTTGAGAGCCTGTAAAAAACGCAGGACAGGTTTTTGGGAGCATGTCGGTTTCAGAGAAGACTTTTGTGTGGGACAGAAAACAGAAACTGAAAGACCGCGAACACTGGACTTTCAAGTTTGACTAAAGACATGAACATTTTTTTGTTAATCTTAATTCTTAAAATATATTTTTGTTAAATAGATTAACTACTTAAATCTATCATTTACTTCTTTATATATTCTGTTCTCAAATAATTCTTTGAAACATTTTCATTTTAACATCTTAGTCATTATAACATGATGGTTCATTAGTCCTCTTGAAGGGGCCTATCACATATCATTCCATAATGAATGGTCCAAATAGCATTTATAGAAAACAAAATCTCGTTTTTATGTATTTACAGTTATAGTAAAGGCATCTAATAATTTAAAGAAATGTGACTTTGACAGTTGAAGTGAAGGGTTCCAACTCATAATTAAATTCTGCTTGAATTAATATGACTTCTCATTTACTCTCATTTTTTATAGTTAAATATACAATTAACAGTACCAGGCACACGTGAATAATATAAATTCCTTCTATAAACATAAACTGTAGTCTTTCTCTTTTTGTGGTCATCTGTCAATCATCGTTTCATATTTTTTATTACCATCTTGGCTTTTTTCTTACATTTTTCTGTATTTACTAAGACCAATATAAAAATAAGGCGAAGTGGTATGATTGCCAATGAGACAACTATGCACCAGAGTTTAAACAACGATAATGTGGAAGCAAGCAATCACAGGTCGTCGTACGGCCTTCAACAAGGTGAACAACCCATATCGTATAGTAAGCTATAAAAGACCAAACAAGAAAAGTGTGATTCAATTCAAACGAGAAAAATAGCGGACTATTTAATACAAATACATTAGCAAAACAGACTTGAAACAAGGACAACCACTGAATTACAGGCTCCATACTAAGAACAGGCAAATACAGAATGATGCGGGTATTACCATTTTCGCAACGTTCAACCCACTACCTAACCCGTGATAGTGATGTAATAGCACAACGTAAAAACAAGATTGCTTCAAGATGAATTTTTAAAAGATATTTTGAGTAGTTTTAACCAGATATAGGACAGATAGATGATAGAGTCCAAGAGACGGTTCTATCTCATAAGAACAGGTTAAACCATCAGAAATGTTTTTACCGTTGCACATCCTAGGAAATATACAGTGTATCTCGATGTATGTTCAGTAATTGACAATATATAAACTACTTAATATGTACTTGTATCGTCTATTTATCCAAGTCCATAAACATAAAAAAGCATTTAACCAATCAAACACTGAAACTAACAATACATGTACATTTTCTTACCTTGCCTGAAAACAAATATCCTTTTTTGTTCCAATGGCCAAGCCTCCCGTACTGTAAGCTATGTCAGAATGGCAAATTTTACCAGCATCACTGTATAAAAATTCCATTTGAACAGGACCAAAGACTGTACAGGGTGCATCACTTTGAAAAACTGGTGGTAAGCTGTGATCAAACAGTAAACAATAAAAATAACAACCAATCAGATATTGGAAAAGAACAGAATACGCATCAAACAAATAAATAAAATAACTGCTTAACAAAAAAAGGGTATTAACAAGATCCATTATATGATGTCTAAATTTCATAATTCTTAAATTCTTCAATTATATAAGCATTGCAAGAACTCATTATTTAAACCTTGATTTTTTGTCTACATTGCACGATTGTAATCGTGAAAATAGCCTTAAAACATGATTTTGTGAAAATCTAAACGAAAGTTTAGTGGTTCCCGATTTAAGTAGTAGCTTATCTGGACATTACAAATATTGAAACTGATCCTAATATTGTTATAACTTTTGTGATTTGATTATCAGTGTTTCATTCTATACACGGATTCATATAAATGTCCGTTTGTGTCAACATTTATATGTTAAAAAGGCCAACTGTCAGTTATTCATACACAAGACCAGGTATTCTAGCTACTAAAACCCACATGGAGATTTTCAAAGTCGACAGTTATGTATCGAAAGGGAGACTGCGATAAGGGCTTTTTTTTCAGCAAAACTTTATCAAATTGCAAAATCGAATGTGATATTTCAATTCAAGATTTTCATTTATGTCTATAGATAAGGTAATACTAAATCAAAAAGTTGCAGTTTACCATCCATGAAGTCAGAACAAATGTAGTTTGTGAAGTCATGGGAAAAGCCCTTTTATTCGTGTTTGCGAAAAATTCATAGATTTTTGGCAACTTTCAAATAGTTTTTGGTTACGCAAACGTAGAGCAAATGCAAGAACCAACTAAATACTTGTTTTTATAAAGACCGCACCTCATATTAATTTTTATTTAGTACTGAATATTTCCGACTCACAAAATGCGTCAAAATATGCATTTTTTGTTCTTGAATTAGGCGAAATATAATATATAAGAAATCTCGCTGAATATTTCAAATATATTTTAAATTCATAACGGTTTAAACTTTGCATGTACAAATCAACGATATTTACGCAAAAATCAACTCATTTTGCAGAACTATAATTTGTTTGCCAAAAGAAGTTATCCGTTTGGTTATTTTGCATAATTGAAATAGGATGACTTAAGTCTTGTACAATGTAACTTTGGAATCAAATGTCATTTGTCATTTCTCTGTGACATAATAAGCATAAACATTTCATACTTTGGATTTTGCCACAGATTGTTTTTTTTTTGCACAATTCATGATGATGCATCATGAAATCTACTCTGGAGTACAGTGCCAAGATTTCTTCGTCAGCAGATTTTCTTAAGTACCGTACTGAAAATTTTCTTTTCTTGAATGTAAGCCTTCTTTGACAGTGTATCATTTTGTTTTTGATGTGTTATTCTGATATTTAGTGAACGCTATTTTGCTATATTGTGCTGACCTGTAATATATCTTTATCAATGCGCCTGTTTATAAATCACCGACTATAACCCTATTCACAAGTTTTGTAAGAACTCATCAAATATATCAGGCTGATGCATTCACCATAACCATATCTTTTTCGCCAATTTATTTAGGGACTCTTCTCTTCATCCCATTGTATTTAAATACTTAATAGCAGTAGTAACGTCAAGAAATAATTGAACATGTTCGTTTCTTGTTTTGTCAAATGCTTTTTATGAAGCTGCCTTAAGTTCCAAAATCTGAATATGTTGATTTTGGTCACTCGAAGTCCATACACCTGATAACTTTTCGTTAAATCAAGTGCCCCATATCCTAACATGCTACTATCAGATTCAATTTTCTATATGGTGCCATAAAATAATAAATTTATAACTGCAATATATAAAAACATTTCCAAACCGTCAACTCATAAAACCTTTGATGTACAATACAATACAATACAATATACTTTATTTAAAAACATTTTGTCACATTCACATGTGAAACAAGAGGTAAATATATACAAAATACAATCACATACAATCATAGAAAGAAATAAAACAACTTTAAAATGGAATATATTAAAAATTACTATACTTTATAATACTTGATAAACTTATATTAACATCAAAAGTCGCTGGTTACGTGGTAGCGTGTTCGCCTCGAGTGCGGGAGGTCGTGGGTTTGAACCCCAAGAGTAAGAGTAAAGACTGGTCGGATCGGAGTCACAATAATGTGTCCAAGTAGGGTAACATGTCTTCCTGCGGACTGTTACCTTATGAACTAGCACGTTAAAAATCCGACTCGGCGTGTCGGTCTTGTACACAACAGGGTTAATATTCATATCTTATTAACATGTTCTCGTCTTAGATATGCATTAATGTACCGCTGTATGTTACACATCCACCCATCACCATTATCTGAATTCTCTTAATTACTCTTCACTCAATATTCTTATTTATTTCAACATTTTTGTAAAATAGTGGTGCATATATAACACCATGTTCACTACCAACCAATTTTCCAATTATCTGAGCCAGTTCCCCCATAGAAACAACACATTTGATTAGTAAAGGCAAGGGCTGTAAACTGATACACGTTTCCTTTCCATGTAGATCTCAAAACATTTCTTTCTTCAATTTTAATTCTCATACTATAATATGCATCTTTAATATCCAACTTTGCACAAACAAAAAAATAATTAATTCTAATGTTGACTCAAAAGTTTCATTCTTAAAATGTTTATATTGGAAATGCTTCTTCAGGATACTTAAATTTCAATGTAATCTACATGAGCCATCGGCTTTGAGTCTGATAAAAATACTAGACAAAAATTCCCCACACTGATGAAAAGTTGGTTCGAAAACAAGTGGTAACCGTGACATTAAATATTCAAAACACTTTTAATTGATTGTCATATTTCACAATGCTAAGCTATTTTCCCTGCCACACACAATTCTGATACTTTCTCTTCTTCTTGTACCAGTGCTATAACTTTAATAACTCTAACGACACTTTAAATGCTTCTTCTGATTCGCCCGACGAACATTTCAGGGATCTGTCCACCAGCTATTAGTCGGTAGATTTGTGTTGCTCTAAAAAAAGTTTTTGTGATTGCTTGTTGTACATAGCATCTACGGCCAAAATTGTCCAACTTCCAGATTCGTTTGAGGCATATAAAACTCTGCTCATTTTTTGTTGTTCTCAGAACCAAAATCTGTTGCGCTTGCTGTTGCTATTCTTCTCTGAACTGAAATCGGTCGAATCGACTGTGATACTGATGAAGCTTCAGAGAGCACCAACTGGAGAGAACCACCATAATTCTTCCAACCGTAACAAACAAAAGTGTTTACAAACTGATTTTCGTGACAAAAAAAAATAGTAATACCATTCAAATGTTAAACATTTCAAACAAAGAACAATTCCTTACTTTCCAGACACTTAATTATGTAAAAACCGAATTTTCTCTCCTGATTAAAAAGTCAAACTTTCCATATCGAAGGATCAACGTCGCTCTGGTTTGCTTCAGATATCATCTGTTCTTTCAGTTGATTCTATAGGCATTTTGGACTAACTAAATTCTTTTAACCAACTATCCCCAAGTTTGTGTAGTCCTTAACTAAGATAATTAATACATAACTTATCTATTTTGAAAAGCATTTAGATGCATTGTTATGGTTTATAACGGTCCACACATGCTCACTAGTATGTAAACATTATGGTTTTTTTCATTATTTTGTTCGCTCCAAAACCTTTTCAACTTCATCAGTTAAGTACATTACGTGTATCTGTAGGAAAAGGATTTCAAATAAAAACTATGGTAACGCATCGTGCAATACAATTTTCTGTAGACGTGAAATATATCATAATGTTTGAAAGCAGTTTGAATAGAATTAATACTTACCAGTTTGGTGATGATTTGTGTTCAGTGTAAAGGTTGATATGGCAAAACTTATCCTTTATACAAACAATCTCTGAACCCCCTGGTAATGTGGGACTTTCAAACAATCTTCCATCACCCTGGAAAAGATACAATTAGTTAAATTCATGTAGAGCAACTCGCGATAATATCAACTTTTACAGTACACAGTTCTGATGATCCATGAAAAGATTTTTCTTACCTTATTTTTTCAATTTTATTCGAAATACTAAGGATTTTTTACCACAGGAATAGATTACCATAGCTGTATATACCAAAACAGCTTCCGGGATTTTGGGTTCTCAATGCTCTTTAACTTTGTACTTTATTTGGACTTTCAAAAAAAATTATTCAAGCGTTACTGATTAGTCTATTGTAGACAAAAACGCGCGTCTGGCGTACAAATTCTAATCCTGGTATTTATGGTGAGTTTACATAAACAACCTTTTTTTAAAAGTAAGTATAATAAATATCAGTCTAGTTTTAATTTATATTTGGATTTTTTTATGCAATGTAATATTTTTCAAGCAATTTTTTTAAGCTAATTTATACAGATTATAGTAGAAAAGAAAAGATTAAATAAAGAATTATAGGAAGTAGTAATAATCAAAAAAATATTTCGTAATATCCATTTTCATAAATTGTTATGTAATAGCTTATATTTCTTCAATAGCAAAATTCGCAAGGACAAAAGTAGAATTGTTACTAATAAATTATTATTTGATTGGGAATGTATGTCCCCCTTTCACAAGGAAAATCAAAGTAAGGAAGCAAAAGCAGTTTCACAGGTTAAGACAACGAATTGCATCATTTAAAGACTTTCAGAAAAAGCTTTAAGAAATGAAGATTTAAAAACTAAAACTTTTTTATATTAAAGGAAAACAATTAATAGTTTTCCATAAAAAAAACAGATTGTTTTGTGGTCAAACTTTTTGTAAACTATGGTTTCATCAGTTAAAATCAAGAGAATTCCATCCATATAATGGAATTACAAAAACTGTTTTTGAAATAAAAAATGAAATAAGAATAGTTGATAAGGCTACTTAAAGGAGTCGACTGACGATTCTACTATGCTTTACGTAGTTGTAGATCTTGACAAGTTGATCAAATTAGCAATCTAACATTTTTCTCAACAGATTATATTTTTTTCAAGATAATATGCTAAAATTAAAACAAAAAATGGTAAAATCATTATCTAAGGGCAATAACACATATAACGAGGCGTCTGACAGTTTTGGTGCATATGGACAGTAGGCAGGTCTCACTCAACCTTCTGAACATTTCTGCCCCAATCAGATTTTCTCTATGTATTATAAGTTCAAATTCAAAATCTTTACTTTTCTAATCACTAGACTCTTTCGAGCATTACACATTTTGACAGGTTCATTTTCATTTTCATGCAACTTTTTTCTCTTCGCTTATTCTAATTTTATTAATTATGTACAGCATAATATAATATAAAACAGTCATGTTAGTCATCATTACAGCATTGATGAAATATAGCATTTTTCAGGATAATAGAAAAAAAACTTGGTTTTACCGCTATGTTCTATATTTAACCATGTTGGCCATGTTAGTTGATAGGCAAGATCAAAGGACATTTTATTTAATAAGATATTCCTACGATGAATGTTGCCAAGTTTAATTGCATTTGGCCCAGTAATTTCAGAGAAGATTGTCGTAAAAATTAAAGGATAACGACGGACAACAGACTTCAAGTAATGATAATAGCTCAGTTGATCATTCGGTCCAGGTGAGCTTAAAACGACATGCTTTGATTAACATGAAATAACCAAAGAAGAGGGACGGACAGGGAAAGGGAACATAAGAATAAGGGCATGAGAAGCAAAAGAGGGGAGCAGGATAAAGAAGAAGGAGTCAGAGGGCGGGAACAGGGGGGAGAGGGGGGCAGTAACAATAGGTATATGTTGGAAAAAATGTTTGACCGATTTTCGTATGGATATAAAGGTGGTAGTGAAGTGGTATAGGAAGAGGTATTTTTGGAGTAGAGGGAGGCATGTGGAAATCAGGGACCTCCCTGTCCATCCCCTCAAAGAAGGTAATAACAATAAAAACTAAAGTTTTAACAGCGGTTGTGTCGCTCACCTGTATCTTCAACAAAAGCCATTTTTAGTAAAAATCATCATTAAAGGGAAATAAGTCTATTAAGAGTTAGCTGACAATGTAAGTCATATTGACGTATTTTGTAGAAAAAGATCTTATTCCGCAAATACTTTGTTAAAGTTTCTACCTAACTATTATAGTTTTCAAAATAATAGCCAAACAATGCAACAAACTGGGGAAAATCGTCATTAAAGAGCAAAAACTTCAATAAAGGGTCGACTAACGATTTCATTCATGCTTACTAAATTGTGATCTTGTTTTGCTGATCATTTTTGCGTTTGAACGTTTCTATTTATCTATTATAGTTTTAAAGATAATAGGCACGAATGCAATACAATGGAAAATCAAAGGGCAACAACTTTCATAAGGAGTCGACCAAAGGTTTCGGTCAAGTTGACTTATTTGTAGATTTTTCTTGTTGATAATTTGTGCCATTTACAGTTTCTATCCATCTATTACATTTTTTTCAAAATGATATGCACCATGCAGAAAAAAGAGAAAATCGTAATTAAAGGGCAAGAACTTCAGCAAGGTGTCGCCTGATAATTGTCATAGACATTATGAACATTTCACCATTTTGAACATTTTGGCATACTGTCATATTTTCTCTACCTATAGCGGGTTTCAAAATACTAAACAAAATTTGCAATTTTCCCCTTTGTTCTTTCTTTAGCCATGTTTGCCATGTTTGTTGGTAGGTTAAGTCATTGAACCCAATTTCGAAATTAGATACCCCATTGATGATTGTGGCCAAGTGTTGTTAAATTTGGCCATGTAGTTTCAGAGGAGAAGATCTTTGAGAAAGTTTTCGGTGGACGACGGACGACGACAACAGACGACGGACGACGACGACAGACGACGGACGACGACGACAGACGACGGACGCCAAGTGATAGCAAAAGCTTATACTTGTCTTTTGAACTAGAACTTTTCATAACTTTTGAAACGTAAAATTAAGGTTCATGGACTTTGGGTGTGTCATATACCAAAGTCAGATCACTCTGACCTTGACTTAGACCTTTGACCCCTATGAGAGTAAAACCTTGCCCACTTAGTATTTGCCTCATATCTTTTGTACCGTAAATTTAAGATTAACCAAACTTGGAATGCATTTGCATTTTGGGCTAGAATACTAGTGTGTCATTTATCATAATCAGATCACTTTGACCATATGTGGATTCTTAAGGGTTCTGAAGAACTTCTGGACAATTATAAATCTCGGTCTATTTCTGAAATTAATTCTAACATAACTTTTGATTTTTTAACCCTGTATACCAACATTCCCCATGTGAAATTATAAAATTGTTTTGAATAGACATTGAATGACAAACTTTTTTCTTATGTGACGTTTACATTTTCTGACGTCAGACACGCGAAGCAATGAATGTGGGTCTTAATTTGATAGATGCTTTTGTGCTTTTTTTGTAAATAATTGTTTGTTTTGATATTGTAACACAGTGATGACTGCTGTACCCATATTTTGACTATTTTATTTATAATGTCTGTTTTGTTCACGCATCGTTGTAAATATAACGAAATTTGATAAAACTGTCGTACAAGTGAGAGGTTTAGCGCTATAAAACCAGGTTCAATCCACCATTTTCTACATTTGAAAATGCCTGTACCAAGTCAGGAATATGACAGTTGTTGTCCATTCGTTTGATGTGTTTTGTCATTTGATTTTGCCATGTGATTAGGGACTTTCCGATTGAATTTTCCTCGGAGTTCAGTATTTTTGTGATTTTACTTTTGACCTTTCATCCCTATAATAGTAAAATCTTGTCGGATTTGATTCCTGTGCATATCTTTTCTACCATAGAACTTAAGTTGACCAAACTTGGTATGCCGATACGATACATCATGGGATAGGGGGTTTCACATATCGATGTCAGGTCACTCTGACCTTGAATTCGACCATTAACCACTATGATAGTAATTCATTGTCTGATTTGTGATTTGTGCTTTACGTTTGTACTGTAGCATAAAACAAAACTTTGCATCATACTGACCTTGACATTGATCTTTAATTTTTTAATTCACAGTATGAAAACTTCGGATTTTGTTCCTGTGCCAGTATATTTTTTTTCAGATTGACTTATCACTAACTATGTGTCAATCTTACACAGAGGCAATTATCATATGAAATGAATGGCTGAAAACCAGAAATCTCAATACTGAAACAGCAGCAACTAAAATGCTTGTACGGAAGGTATTAGTCCCGCTATGCAGACAGCTCTAGTTTGATATATTTTTTTTTCTAAAGCAGTGATGGGTTTTCCCTTACATTCTAAATTGAGCTTTAGAAGAAAACGCTTAGTCACTACTGACAGTCACTTCCTATATTTGATTCCATGTTTTACTAGCAAAATTCAAGATTAATACAGTAGAACGTGTGATAACTTGTTTTGAACAACAATGTTTTATATTATATTAATCTCCACATAATGTCTATGGAGAACAAAAACCAATTTCTTATAAAAGCAAAATAAATTTTAAAGAAAGTTGTCATATGTAAATAAAAAAACTGCAATAATCCTTCATCTTCCATTGTAATTGCAAAACAATCTGATATCTATTATCTTAAAAGAAAAACTACAGCATCCTCAATATCCTGTAGTACGAAATTCAAATAAGTATATAGATTGTGGATGCGATAAAACTTCATGAGACCATGAACTGAAATCAACTTTACAATCAAATTACGAAGAATTTCTGACAAGAAATCTATTACAAATTTGCACAGAAAGTTTATATCCAAATTTGAGGTCTATTACCATTGATATGATTGCTGCAAAATTACTACAATAACTCAGGTTTTTAATTTGCAGGTTTTCTACTATCTATTTTTACACATTTTACCTTGGTTAAACTTTTCTGTAATTTCAACACTGCAAAAACAAATATAAAAATGAAAGATATAGTTTATAAGTGTGTGATGATAGAATAAAACTATACATTTAGTCAT